TGATCTTTTTAACTTTTTATAACACTATTATTGTTTATTTGAAAAGCAGAAACCAAATAAGCTTGTGGAAGATTTTATTTCAATAAAAGAAGTAAATACTGCTGATTTTTTGGAAAAGGTATGCTGGTTTTTCTACTTTTGGCCAAAATTTCTAAAAAAATTTTAAAACAATAAAAATATAGATAGTTGCAAGTACTTTCAAAATTTCTAAAGAGTGTATTGAAAATTTAAAACTTCTATTGTTGATAAAATAGGAGCTTTTTTTCCCTTCACCAAGATTTTTTATACAAGTGCACCACTTGCCAATTATCTTATATAATAATGCTCTTAGCTTCTATACTAAACATTCTTTTAAATGAGTCTTGAAGTAGTAGCAACTGTTGATCTTTAGGCAAACTACAATATAAGGCCACATCTCTTCAACAAAAGTTGTGTATTTTTATTAGTTGAAATTTTAATATGAGTGATTATCAGAGAGAGTTGAATAAATTTATATTAAACCAAAAAAATAATATAAAAGGTAGATTAAAACTACTTTATTTGATATTGTAATTATACATGCTGACAAAATTATTTCGGGTTCAAAAACCCGAAATTAAAATTTGAAGACGAAATTGTTTTTGACCTATTTTACTTAAAAGACAAAATTTTTGACACTTTTTTTGAATAGACGAAATTATAAAGAATATAAATATATAAATTTTATTTGTTCTTTCTTATAAAAAATTTTAATTTGCTCTAATGGAGATGAAATAGGCCTTTTTTGAAAATCAATTTTGGTGGCATTACTAATTGTAATATAGTTATTTTGGTGGTAGTAACTATATTACTTGATAATATGCCAAGAGTAAGAAATATAAATAAAAAGAAAAAAAACAAAAAAACAAAACCAAAAAAAACTAAAAACAAAAATAAAGAAAACAATAAAATCACTTATGCAATAAGTATAATCTAGAGAAACTTTAGAGGCAAAAGTATAATATTTGTTTTATTAAATATAGAAGAATTTAAGAAGAAAATGTTTTATATCTCAAGAACCTGTTTTGTCTAAGAAGAAAAGACAGAGTTTTTATATCTTTTACAACATATATATATATATATATTTTTAATATTAGGGTATAGCACCTGCTCTAGACTTTATTAATACTTAAACAAGTTGATATATGATAGTGCTGAAATATATACATATTACATACTGTATAAGAACTAGAACTAGGACTTTAGGTTTAAGACTATTTATTCATAGCTAAAACCTACCAGAGCCGTCAACACTTCTATACATGTGATTGATCTGGATTTTATATATTCCTCCCCAACTACCAATTAGTATTCACATACTATTCACATGTCCGCTACTTTATCCACATACCTAATATCTCAACTCCCAAATTGGTATATATCAGATGGGTGCTTATTGCTCCCAGTTTGGTGTGCCTCAGTTCCAACTAGTATATTTTCAAAAGTTCGTATCTCAAGCCATACAGCTGTTTCTACCCAATTGAGTAAGTATCTCAAGCCTGCATACTGTTGTAACTAGCTAGTTTCCTGTAATTTTAAAACCCAGATTTTAATATTTCGAATTCGGTAATATGCGAACAACTGTACTTCCCAATATGGTGATGAGGCTTGCTTAGGCATGTTTTTCAAATGCTTCCAGTACTTGATATACAGTTAAACCTCTCTATAGTCACCTCCTATATAAGCATATTTTTTTTATAAGCATATTTTTTAAAAAACTATCTATTATTAAATATAATAAATTTAACCTCTATAATTAGCATACTTCTCTATAATCATGCTTTTTTGTATCCTGTGGGTGTGACTATAGAGAGGTTTGACTGTAGTTGAATAGGATTATGAGGGCTAGGGTTCTTAACAGGTGCGTCATTGTTTCTATTTATAGTGATTCTCAGCAGTTGTAGCCCCCAGTTATCACTATATTTACTTATACCAGCTATATCTGTATTGGTGGTTCCAAGTTCCCTTAATGTTTGAAAACTCCCATATGGATACAACTAGAGCCTGTTAGGTCTATCAATATGTACACACCTTTATGCTTCAACTTCTTATTGGTCAGTAAGTTCTGTATGTGCCAGAGGTGTTTCAAATCTGGTAAGGCCAATTCTTTACTACAGGTTTCTTTGTGTTTACCACATTTTTTACCACTTTTCAATTCTGATTACTGTCTAGTCATTCTCCCAAACAAGATCCCCAATGTCGCCTTAGGGGTTGTTGATGCTATCTTGCCAATCGTGAATTTACACGCATGACCTTTGTGTAATAGAACCTTTTATAACAACTACTATTACATGTAGTGCCAACTACTTCACAATGAACCTCCTTCCGGAAATTCATAATTCAGATCTGTATTTACTTGGACTTCTCATAGCAGATACTTCCAAATATTTGTAGATAAATGTACCTACTAGGACTTGAACCAAAACTTGCTCATGGAGAGTTGGGTGCCTAGGCTACTAGGCTGCAGGATCTCAACCCTTTTTACAACATATATCAACAGAATATAAAATAATAAAAAACTATAAAAAACAATAAGAAATAATAAAAAACTATAAAAAACAACAAGAAATAATAAAAAACTATAAAAACAACAAGAAATAATAAGAAACTATAAAAAACAATAAGAAATAATAAGAAACATTAAGTAATATTAAGAAATATTAAAAAACATTAATAAATATTAATAAACATTAAAAAACATTAAGAAACATATAGTAAATCTATTTTTTGATTATCTAGCTAACTAATAGTTTGTCCATCATATATTGTAGCTCGTTTTGATTATCAAGGTTTTCTGGATTTGCTAGAAGTAAAATTTTTAACATGTTCTATAATACTAACACATTCTATAACAATACCAATAAATCTAATATAAAAAATAAAAAATATAAAAAATATACTAATATAACAATATAAAATTTTTAAATAATTAATCAAAGATTTAAAAGCTTTTATTAAATATCAAAAATTAAAAACTTTTTTAAAGTTAAATTTTTTACACTAGTCTATGTATAGATTCTTGACTTTAAGCTTAAATATCTTAGCAATTATTTTATCAAATTTAATAATTTTTTTATTATTTATAATTTCAAAATTAAAATAAAAAAATTTTGAGCAAATTTGATTAATTAGTTGTTGAGATATTTTAATTTAATAATTAAAAAAATTTTACTAAAAATGATTTGTCTTTTTTTATTAACTCAATCTTATATAGTATTAAAATATGCATCTGTATAGCTATGTACCCTTTATATTTTTTAAAATTTTACTAGAGTAACCCTGTTGTATTCTTAGATATTAATTTTAAATTAATCCTAACTCTAACCCTAACCTAACTCTAACCTCTAACCTTCTAACTTTAATTCTAACTCTAATTCTAACCCTAATTCTAATTATTGTTTGTATTTGTTACTATAGGGTGCACAGTGTGCAGAGTGCACAAAATTAATAAATCTAAATAATAAAATACAAATTTTTTTTTAAAAAAATATAATCTAATACAGTATATATACAGTAATACAAATATATATTTATTTAATAGTATAAATAATATACAGTATATTTAAAAAACTAATATCATAAATACACTGGGTTTTATTTTAATCATTTTTTACAATAAAAAAAAAATTAAAAATATACAGGGTCTCAATAAATAAATTTATTAAAAATAAAGTATTTACGTACGTACGTATAATCCATGTGTCCCTTGCCTCGTGTAACTGTCAACATGTAATACGAATTAATCAGTGGTATGTACTTACCCTTGATTATCTCCATATTCGGTGAGAGAATGAGATACGAGATTTCGTTATTAGCACAGCCACCGAAAAAACGAACAATATTACGAGAATAAAAACTCGATTGCAATGTAAAAAAAAAAGATATGTATTCATCATATGAACAAATAAAAAAAAAAAACATTCAATAATTTCAATTAGAGGTTTTTTTTTTGTCTAAGCAAAAAAGAACAATCGAATGAATCTTCGAATTGTTACCTTTTTCTCATGTAAAGTGTAGGATTTACAATACACCCTACAATCTATGACGGCACGATAATTGTGTATTTTTTTTTTTTTTTCAATGATAAAAGGCCATTGTATTATTAAAATCGATTACTTTTTGCGGACACTATTTACAATAAGAAAAATAATTATCACATCTGTGCAGGGTGACAAGAGTGAGAACAAAAGAACACATTTAACTCATAATAATATAAATCGGAGAAAAATAAAATTATATTTATATTTGCATATATATGTATATATGTAATGTATATGTATGTATATATAACTTTTTTTTTTTTTTTTTAATTACAGTAAGATAAATCCTTACAAACCAGCTTAATTAAATAGTATTAAAGAACATTTACTGTAAATAAGTAATGAATTATTAGAGATTCTTCGTTAATTCAGTTGTATATATTGTTTTCATTTCTCCTTTTCAATCAAAAAAAAAAAAAGAATTCCATAAACACAAATCTCGAATCAATAGCCAAAAAAGCCAAGAAATGAAATAAAATAAAATATAAAAAAAAAAACACGAATAGTGCAAAGGTTACATTAAAGAATCGAACAGAAATAATAAAATTGAAAAATTGTGCTATGCTTAGAAATTGTTAAAAATAAAATAAAAAAAAAAAAGAAAAAAAAGAAAAAAAAAGGAAAAAAAGAAAAAAAAGATGACCAATGTTCATTGATTTCCCACCACTTTGTACAAGTAATGTAGTGCGACCACAACCACAATGCAATATGATTCAACCCATCATAGGTTTGTCAAAAATAAGGATTATAAAAAAGAAAATAATAATAATTACAAAGAAAAAAAAAAAAAAGAATTGCAGGTTGTTAAAATTAAATCACCAAACTTCAACGCTCATCCAACGTCATCTCTTAAGTTCTATATGTGCTATATATAATATATATAATAAGGCTTCTGTATATTTAATAAACTATGGAAATATATGTAAATATTTGTGTAAAAGTCTAAACCAGATTTCTAAAGATTGCCAACCTTCTTCCGCGATTTTGGCCAACAACAGATACGAGATTTGTAGGCTGCTTAACACTAACACTCATGCTAACGCTCCTTTCCCTTAAAGTAGAATTACCAACAACACTAGAAGTATTATTGGAAACATTTGCTTTCTCTAATCGGCATGAAGTTGTCGATGCTCTTCGACGTGCTTGTGCATGATCATTTTGATCCAATTTTGGATCGTATAAATCAGGTTGAATCGAGTTATAATCGTAAAGAGTCGGTGTTTTGTCATCAGTTAACAATTCACGTAATAATAAAGGTTTATCAGCGTAACCAGATGGAACGTTAATTTCATCATCGTCACCCTCATCCCGAGTATTCGTTGGAGTTGTATTAACGTTAATAGAAGAGCTGCTACCTGAATGAGATTCATCACGAACGGTGGAAATTTCACCATTCACAATTGGATCATTTGATAGTGATCCAGGAAGAGCCAATGGACCCGAAAAGTAAGCATCTGTGAAAGCTCGAAGGGATTCTGTGCTTGAAGAAGGAGAAGTACCTTTTAAATTTGAAGAAGGTGCAGGTTGTATAGTTCCAGAAGAAGTTGAATCATTAACGTAAGAGCCATAAAGAGCAGGATCACTTCCAACTTTGCTTAAACCTTTGGACTTGGTATTTTTGGTCGAATTTTTCAAATTGTCGGCACTGTTTCTTCTTTTGCAAAGAAGAAGGCGGTTTTTATCATTATGAATGAAGCAACACCGTTTACCGTAAGGACAAGTACCATTCTGCCAAAAGGTTTTACAAATTTCAGTCTTGTACTTTGGATGATGAGTGACTTTTCGTAATTCAGAATCAGAATGGGCAAATTGACATTTATTTCCATAACTAAATATATAAAAATATATTGTAAATAAAAATTTAATAACAATAATAATATTTAATATTTAATTTAATATATAATACATAATAATTTTAAATGATACATTAATAATATTAAAGTACTAACCGGCATGAACCACGTTCTTCCCAATTACGGCACATTTCAGTTTTGTATAAAGTGGCTTTCTTTTGTTCCTTCTCGAGCTCAATTGTAGATTTTTCAGAATGTTCAGAAGCGACATCCGAGATGACCGTTGGATTGCTAGAACGACGAACCTTTGGATTTTGAAATTGTTGTTGTAAAATGGTAGCGTTGTTGTTGTTGTTGTTGTTATCAGCAAGAAGGCTTGGAGGTAAGTCAGAAGGATTGCTAATAAAACTACCCATTGAAGTTCTTTTCTTTAACGCGTGAAAATTTGGAAGAGAAGAACGAGATCTTAAAGTTGAAGAATCTCGTTGCGATACAAAATTTTCAGTTGAATGATCAATTAAAGACCACCCATTAGTAACAGGAGTAGAACAACGAGAAGTTGCAGTGGAACTTGTAGTGGCAGTAGTAGGAGTAGTTAAATCCTCAAGAGAAGACCAGGCAGAAGGGATAACCAAAGGTTTTGCAAAAGCGATGCTGTAAAGAGCCTGATGACATGGACCTTCATTGACGACACCATTATCGCACTCAGTATCAATAGAAGTGGGAGTAGTAGTGGGAGTAGTAGTAGTAGTAGTAGTAGTATTTTTGAAAGAGCCACCACCGCTAATTAAATGATCATAATAAAGGGAATTAACGCAAGAAGAGTGACCCAAAGTATTATTATTACTATTATTATTATTGTTGTTGAAGTTGCCGATATTATTATTATTATTATTATTATTATTATTAATTGATTTGATAGGACCGGATTCACACAAGAGCTTGTTAGCAGCATAGCTAAAGTAATCGCCAAAATCGAAGAACTTTGTCGCACGAGGTTCCCAAATCAAATTATCAGATTCTAAATGGTGAAATTGATTGTTAGGCACGGACTTTGCGACCGGCGCATACAAAGGTGAAAGAAGAACACTGCAAGTATTTTTTAAAGCCTTTGCTTCAGAATTGGACATTAATTTCCGGTCATCAGTTGGAACAGCAGTCGTAATATCTTTAGGAGCAACAGCGGTCATTACATCCATTATAAAAGACGATCGAATTATAAACAGTGAAAAAGGTAGTTTGGTCCAAAAATTGGAAGGTTTTAAAATTTAATCCAAACCCAAAGAACGAATGTTTATATAAGGACCTTGACTGTATAAGGAGAAAACAAATTCTAATACGTGTTGTAATTGTTGTAATTATGTGGCAACAATAGTGAGGTGGAACGAAGGAGGTTTAAATAATAATAGCGTGATATGTAAAATAGTTTAAAGCGAAAAGAAAAATAAAAAATAAAAGTTAGAATGGAGTACGAATAATCATATATATGATGACTAGTATCAATCGAGTGAGAAAAGCAAAAAAAAAAAAAAAAAAGTTGACATCATGATACGTAAAGTTTAAGGACAAACTTACCGTGATGATAATTAATTACACGCGAAAAGCCGATAAGAATTTGATTAAGTTACGATTTTAAAAAAAAAAAAATCTAATAAATAGTCGCTCTATCTGAAGCTTCTTTTATTGTTTTTTTTTTTTTTCTTTCTGTTACAAGCGAAGAGGGGCAAAAAATAAGCAAAAAATAAGTTGACGAGAAATCGTAAGTTTATATAATCGTGAACCAAAATAATGAGTGTGTAAAAAACCAGAACAGGCAACAAAGGCAATGGCGAAATTATCTGGGTTATCCAATTTAAGTATAAAGCATAAAAATTTTTTTTTTTTTTTTTTTTATCAGCGTTCTATTGTTGACTTAACAAAAAATTTATACAGTAGAATCTACAACATATCATTCAAATGTCACTGTGAATAAACGCAGGAAAACAACGTAACAAAAAAAACTTTTAAATTCCATAAAAAAAAATAAACAGTATTTATTTATTTATTTTTTTATTTATTTATTTATTTAGTTTTTTTTTTTTTTATTTTTATTTTATTATTTATTTATCGTCATTTTATTTATATCAGTAATAATTACATGTAATAAGATTTATATAAAAAATATTTCAATTCTTTTATCATCTCTTTCGGTTTCTCATTCCGATGCATTGCCTCCTCAAAGAAATCAACCGACAATAATGCGACCCCTCAGTTTCTATCCGATTTACGAGAGTAGAAATTAATTATAAAACCATTTTTATGACAGAAAAATCCAAGATACTACCCAATCAAGACACGTTTGAATCTAAAAACTCGAATCGAACCAGTTCATTTTGTTGACGAACATAATACACACGTAATACAGTAATAAAAAAAAAATCACTATAATCCATACCCGTAGCATAAAAAAATGTAAGGTATATCATTGATGCGCAGACTCTCGTAAAGTCAATTAGACAAATTGGGAAAAACCGAATTTTTTAAAAACTCGTGTTCTTCGCGCATCATCACACGTCTGAACCTTATAATAACTAATGGTTCGGAAAGAAGAAACGATGCAGGGTCGGAAAAAGAAGAAATCGAGCGGGAACAAAGAGCATAAAACAATGCCGACAGTTTGCATACAATCCCCACGCCCGTCATATTGAGCATTTTCAAACGTCATTTAATATTTGGAAGATGCATATGCCATTATTGTTTCATAATTGTTAGAATACGACACATTACCTGATATATGAATACATTATTTTAGCATTTCTTTTTAACTTATGCGTGACAAATTTGAATAGTATAAGTTACGTGGAGTATCGAAAGGATATACGTATGGATATTGAATTATTATTACTACTTTTATTATTACTTTTATTATTACTTTTACTGTATTTATAACCTTAACACATACAATCAAGTTCTTTGTCCTACCGATTGAAAATTTTTGACAGTTTGAGGTAAAAAAGCGTGGTGTTCTACGTTTATTTCGTTTATTTGTAACATTTTCTTGTGTCCTGTTTATTTACAAGTTTGGACTAATGGGATTTTTGGAATATTCTTATTGGTCATCTTGTGGCTTTTTCAAGGAACATCCCACGGATTTTCCTGTAGATCTTGTGCGAATGAGTTGTGAGTTGTCGCATGCCTATTGAACCCTTTTTTCTTTCACTATTTCACTATTCTAATCTAAAAATTTACTATAAAAAATTGGCTTCTTTTAAAAAATAGATATATATTTATACGTATATATTTAAAAAATAGATCTATCTATAATGTTTTACAAATTATTTTTAAGTAAACTTTAAATATATATATATATATACATTTTTTCGAATCATTCTCATTAACAGCGCATATATAATTTATAAGTTGAAATCTTTACACAAAATACATAATTAGACTGAACGTAAACAAAACAAATCAACAGTTCGATAGAAAAAAAAGAAATAGATTTTCTCTTCTTTCACCCCTGCTCAATTTTGAAGATCACTTTCACGTTGCTTTATTCTTATTTTGTTCACGCAGAATGCGATGGATGGTTCACATAACGATAATGCTGGTAGAATACCAATTTTGGATTTTGTGATTAGTAAGTTTAGACAAGGTTAATAACCATTCATGTCCAATAATAAATCACTCACTAGTTTTTCTCCGCATAAACTTTCATGTTATATTCAGACTACTTTGCATAGGATAATAGGATAAATGCTATACATCACTCTCTTCATTCATCACCAACCATTCAGATTTAGCAGATTGTATCATTGTAACCAAATAGAGCATCAACAAATCATTTATAATGGTTGTCTTTAAAGAAATTTCTATTGTCATATGAATTTAGAAAACAATACAACTTTTTTTAAATCAATGTAATCATTTGATGTCTTAACCTAATATTTTTTTATTTTACAATGCACTAAATTCTATATAAAAAAAAATATTTACAAAAATATTTATAAATTTAAAAAATAGTTTAAGAAAAAAATTTTATATAAAGTAATTTATATAAAAATTTATAAAGAAATTCTAAAAGAACAAGTTTATTTCTCTTGCACGCGATTTTCAACAAATTTCAATTAAATTTCGCACACACTAAGTGAATCATTTGTATTAGTTGATATTAGTTGACTATTTGTACGTCATTATCGTTCCCACGATTAATTCCGATTCTCGTTCGATCCAAATGTGTAAATAACTTGCTATCAATATTTACTTTTAAAGTAATTGATGAAAAAAAAATAATAATTATTATTATTTATAAATATATAATTTATAATTTATAATAATTTATAACAATTTATAATAATTTATTATAATAATTAATTATATTATTATAAAAAATACTTGTCATAAAGTCACAAATCACTGTATCGGATTCTTCCTCACGCGGAATGATTTACCAAACAACAAACAAATCAAACAAGTGTGAATGTTGATCAAGTTTATCGTAATATCGATTTTAGTTTCCACGAGCTTAAATTCCAAAGAACGTTGGTTTTTATTTCCTAAATGAATAACTTGTTTCCAGTGGCCCGATGATGTTTCCCCTCAAAGCCGTTAATCTCGTGGTCACTTAGTGCTACCTCTTTTACTATCTTTTACTACCGTTTCGCATATATATTCTATATATCGTTATTCTTTGTGTATTACTTGATTTTTGACCGTTTCGATATAAATATTTCGTAAACCGTTGTAACTTGTGATCGATCACGATGTAATCAGGCGATACGTTACTCTTCATAATCGGCTTAATTAGAATGTCGGAGTTTATTTAATTTTTTTATTACAAAAAAAAAATTCGAGATAATTTGATGCAATTTGTACGATATTTTTTTTAGTCGTCTCTCATTTGTTAATGATATTTACTTTTATGGTCCTCAATCACTTGTGTGTTCTTGAACAACTTTAGTGCTGAAAGTATAAACACTCGTGTTAAGAACTCCTTTTAGGCAACTAAAAATATGCTTTTTTTTTTGTGTTCTACATTTTGTGCGTTCCCAGGAGAATATACAAATAGTAAACATCAAATGCTTATAGCTTATGTTTAATCTATATTATTATTCTGAGTTAAAGTTGCACCAAAAGGTGTCACCAGTTGACTCATGGCTGATACGAGTATCCAACAGACACGCTTTGTCCCTTAAAAAAATATTTACGTAAGTACATAAGTAGGCGAACGAGTGTTTAATGTGCACGACTATTATTTAGTTAGTATCTTCAACGTGTCATAAATGATTAATTGGATCATAGAACACGAACGATCTACTGATAATTCCTTACTCGCCACGATTCTTGTTCTCTGTCCTGTATTTGTGCTCGATTTTAGTAAATTTATAATATATGTCATGTGCTTTTTATAATTACTTTTGTAAAATCGCGTTAATATCCTAATTTATTATTAATTTATTGTTAATTTATTATCAATTGATTATCAATTTATATCAATTTATTATCAATTTATATTTTAATCATTATTTTTAAAAAAATTTTATGTATCACCAATCATATTTAATCATATTTACAAACTTTTTTTGTATTCTTAGGTGTTGATTTATATGAATTAATTTTACTTTCGTGATTCATTTTTTCTTCTATAAAGATTCCATTTTATTTATAATTTGTTAACTCTCCCAATCGGCCTATAAAAACTTTATTTATAAATCAAGTTCTTATAGGTTCTTGAAATCATTATTGATGTATTAGTTTTCTACGAACCTTACACTTCAATAAGTTTATTATTTCCGATTGTATCATATGATAACGTTAAATGCTGCGTTAGTCGAAAAGTCTGTGTTAACTTTCTCTTAATTTTTATCATGCACCAATTACTTTGCGATTGCATTATTTGTTTATATATATACTGTATATATATATATATATATATGTATATATGTATATATATATAACTTTAAAAAAAAAATACTCAAAATTTAATAAAACTTTGATGCACGTTTTTTTTTTCTACGTACGTACGTACCTATGCTGAATATTCTCCTTTTAGTCATCCGCATAACTTGTTTACTGACAATTAACAATATCTACCGTATATGTTGATTCTTTCATTTTGTTTATATTAGCTTGACTCTTTGTCTGTTTATAAAATGCTAGTTAGCAGATAAATTATTTAATTATACTAAACAATAATTTTCGAAAATTTTTACTGTTTTTC